GGTTTTAAGTTGGTTTTACAAAAGCTTTACAAAAGAAGGAAGTCGCGTATTTTTTGGTGCGTGAGGATGGGGGGGGGATAGAGGAAAAAAAGTTTATAATTAAAATTCCAAAACCGATTTGTGCGTTCGTATACTGATTAAATTATGTTCGAATCAGAGAGAAAATTAATTAAAAAGGCGATAAATTCGGTAAGAGATTTTCTGAAAAAAGAAATGATAATTATGTGTATTTACATGTATATATGTATACAGATTATAGCAGAATAAACTATGTTAGACAGTTCATAGAAATAATTTGATAACCTATTAATTGACCTAAATACAAACAGACGAAATTAAAAATAAAAATAAAATGTAAGAAATACATTTAAAGAGCATAGCAAATGATAACTCTTTATAAATTCCTTTACAGTTACTAATGTATGGAATGCTTTATTTCAATATACACTTTACACATGTATCTCTGTCTGCAATATGCTATTCACAATTAAAACATTTTAAAAGTATGTTTTCTCACACATTTACCATTCCATACGAAGTATCTATAATGTTTTTTTTTTCAAGATGTTGTTTCTTAGGAATATAGAATTTATAAGAACTGATCAATCCTTCCCATTTTCTTCGGTGACATTTCATTCAGTTCATAAAAAAATGGGTGTTATTTACAATGACACTTTTATTCTTACATTGTTTTATATGGGAAGATAGTAATCAACTCCTCTGAACTTTCATTGCAATCTCATTTACGAGAGGGTGCCGTGATTTTTTACACATATGCTTCCGGTATGTCAATTGACGTGGGTATTTTTTTTATACGCTCTATCAATAAACTATATTCTGGCAGGAAAAAGTAATATGATGATAATTACAATAATAATGGTAAAATATACACATGCATCTAGGATCTTCTGAGAAAAAAAAAATATATAAGTGCTGCTAATAAAAGGAGAGGGATAAGCAGATGGCAACACTCACAGAAAACGGAAAATAATAAAGAAAATAAATCACATTAGAATCTAAATTAGAAAGTCTTTTTTTATATAAAGAGAAGAGAATTAATATAAAATCGAAACATTGATTTTTGCGTAGAAGACCCCTCTCTCTTCCCCATGCTGCTATGAAGCCATGGGTCGGGGATTTTTAAGAGATGCCTTTTTTTTCGTTACTCTCTTTCTCTCTGTCTCAATCTCTAGCCTTTTCTCTTTGTTTTCTTTTTTTCATCCCAACCCTTCCGTTTGAAAATATAAAGTATGAGGCCGGTGGAGGAGAAGAAATGACAAGTGGAAGACTTAAGGTACAAGAAGGAGATTTCTGAAAGAACATCAGCTTCTTAAGGGTTGCTGATGGCGAGGCTCGAGGCTTGGTTGAAAGGGGAAGGGGAAGGATAAGTCCGATATGCGAAGCTGAGCCTCGCCCGGGCTATGAGGGGAGCCCGGCCTCTGTCGACTAATGTCGACTCGCTAACAGTGTGTCAGCTGGTGTTGACTCGGCTTTTGTCCTTACCCGCCGTGGTGCCCAGCCACAGCAGTAACCCCCAGGCGACAATTGCAACTTCTCGCGCCTGGGCGGGGCGCGAACCGCCGACCCCTCGGATGAAAGGCCGACACGTTACCACTGTACTAGCCCGGAGGCTGGAAAGGGAAACGGGAGATGGCAGAGATATGGAGAATAGAGGGAAAATAAGGAAGAGAGGGGGCAACATGGTGTAAGGAGAAGAAAACTTTGAGAGAGAGAGAGAGAGAGAGGAAAAGAGAGAGAGAGAGAGAGAGAGAGAGAGAGAGAGAGAGAGAGAGAGAGAGAGAGAGAGAGAGAGAGAGAGAGAGAGAGAGAGAGAGAGAGAGAGAGAGACGTGGGAGGGGCATCATCCTCATCATCATCACCATCCATCCACCGAGGAGGAGTTAGCACATGAAGGAGTGGTCGACGGCATAGCACAGCATAGCACAGGGAGGGTCCATGCCGCGGAAGGAGGAGTTGCTGCGGTAATGTGGACGGATTGGGACGAGGGTGACAGCAAGGCACTGGTTAAGCGATGACTTCTGAGAGGCTGGGAGGCCGAAGGAGGGGGTTGGAGAGCAAGGAGCATGGGGGGGTGTTGCAGCATTGATGGAGGCTGAGAGTAGGGGGGGTAGGGAGTTAGGGAGAGTTGCTACTTAGAAGCCAGGACGTACGCGGGGGTGGGGGCCGTGGGGGTCCCGCCATTTGCTGAGGTCCATCCTGGGCAAGATCCCGGAGTTGCATGGGACGCGCGGGTTTCTGCAACGAGACGAGGAACAAACCGTGTTATCTTTTGCATATTTATTTCCATTTTTTACCCTGATTTACATTACGTCTTAGATTGGTTAACCAGGTGCGTGAACGTATATGTTCACACGGGCGTTCTTTCATGTGTGAATTTGTATTTACAAAGAACACGCCAGGTGCCTTTACCCACGTTCTTTTCAGATCTACTAACGAATACACTCCATGCATAGACAATATACATCTCCCACATTAGGAC